GTAATATAACTTTTGTATCTGACAAGGTCAGTCAATGGAATAAGGCTTTTTTTTTTTTTGTTCCTCGAATGCCTTCAGGGCACTTTTGGCCAGCTGGAGAGGTGTGAGGTTTGAACTCCAGCAACCTGAGGCTGACAGCTTTGTGGAAGCAGCCACTTAAAGGCCTGAGCTAGGGCCAGACCCCCTACTTGGTTTACTTTTGCCTCATTTTGTTTCTCTTTAGGTACTTTCAAAATTTGGTCAATGTTGTCATTGCAAAATACTCATTTGTACATAGGCTCCTTAGGAGAAGAAAGCATATGAAATGATCTGGTGCTATTCTTGAAGGTGGTCTGATGATCAATGTAGGCTTGACCTTCTAGGTTTGCTAAAACAGAAGTGGTGTGAGCACTGGCAAAAGGAAGAGGGAGAGTTGTCAGGGATAATCCACAGTGTGCCTTGTCCTATAGCCCTGTATTTCTTTGTGGCTTGAGTTGATATCAAGGCAGCTTGAGGGTTCTGTAACTGTTTTCTGCTGAGTTTTTATATGTGTGGCCATGAGTAACTACTGACTGGACAGTACAGGTACCAGCGGCCTCATTCATAGCAGCCACCCTACTCTCATCCTTACATCCATTTAAAGTCTTCCTCTCAGTCTGCCCTGATCTGTAGTATTTTTTCATGAGCAGGTGTAGTGTTTGTTCTATTTTTGCAGTCCTGAGGATGAACCCAGGACTTATGTATGCTAGGCAAGTGCTCTACTACTGAGACACATACTTACCCACTGTGAGCATCTTTGCTGATAGAAGCAGTGATGTGAATGAAGTTCCTTTTGAATATTCCTTTTGGATCTTTTGTCCAAGAGTCTTGGAGTCTTACATCAACCCCAGTGAGCAGAGAAGCAGACAACAGATTTAATGAGATGCTGAGTCCAACAGTAAATGAGTGTTGGGAACTTCTGCCCATATTGATTAAGAAGCGTAGTGCAGCAGGAGAGTCTGATGGCCAAATTGGGGCCGATACCCAGAGCTATTGTCCAGGCACTTTTGTGACTGATGGCTGCCTGTTACAGCTACCTCTTGACTTCATGGCTGGAACAATTCACTGTGTATTTGGTGCTTGTGACAGTGTGATTCTGGAGTAAGGTCATGTTTCAGCCAGAGTCTGGCTGTTCAAGAGCTCCTCCCTCACTAGGTGGCGCTCCTGCTGAGTTGTTGACCTGTCCCCTGCCAGTCAATGCTGGGCCATCACAGGTGTCATGACAGCCTCCTCTGTGGCTCCTGGGCACTCAGGTGTAGAAAAGCTTGGGCTGCTATGGGCAGTGCAGTGGGAGGAGGCTGGATGGAGGTGTCACGGTGACCTGAGTCTGCACCTGCTTTTCCTTCTACTGTAGCTGTGAATGTGGGGGAGTTGCTCAGTCTCTCTGAGCCTCGTTTTTTTCACTGTAAATTAGGGGTCATCAGGTGGATGGGAGCCAAGTGAAATTCTTGAGTTATTCCTTCACACAGCAGGGGTGTAACAGCTGCTTTGGGCCTGGTCTTTGGCCCTGAGTGTAGGACTAGGGCAAAGGCGGACACAGTGTGAGGGATTTAGTCTCCCTTTAACCTTTCCTGTCAGATAGCTTGTCCCTTGTGACATGCTGCTCACCCTGGTGACAGCTGCTCATTTTTCCCACTGTCAGCACCAGCTCCTGCTCACCTGGAATTTCCTCACCTCGCACCACTTCTGATCTTCTCACAATCTTTCATTTTTATTTTGGGGATAGCAAAATAAAAGATGCTTTGGCTCAGCATCTCTGGGACAATATCTGAACCTATGATCTGCTCTGCAGGGCACTGCCCAGATGTCCAGGAGCCCAATGTCTCAGGCGCAGGCTGAGGCTCTTTGGCAGGGTAGGCTGGCATTCTGATCTCTGCTCTGTACAGGCCCTGCCCCATCGATGTCCAGTTCTCAGAGTGCAGTGAGGGAGGAACCGCGTTAAGGTCACCCAGCTCCACCTCTGGGTGTCAGATTACCTGAATATATGAAATCATTACTTAGCCTCCTTGAGCTGTTTCTTCTCCATGCCAGGACTGGGTAGAATTCAAGCTGCATCCAGTGATGAAGCTTGCATCCCAGCAAGTTGGTCCTCTTATGGATCATACAGTATGCATGTTTATTTCTTAGCAAAAAGCTATAAAATATTTGATATCCTTAAAAATAACTTTATTTTTAATAATGTTCTATTGAAGCAAGGTGTATATTACATAAAAACTTTCATTTTAGCCATTTAAAGTATAATTCAGTGGTAATGAGTACACTAAAATACCGTGGAACTGTCCCCTTTGTTTTCCAGCTATTTTATTTATTTTTTATTCCTGCATGTTTGTGACCTATAATAAATACATGCATTGGAAGGAGCTGGTACACATACGTATCTCACCCTAGTCCTTTTTATTTTACCCTCTCTCTGTTCTCCCTCCACCCCTCATTCCCCATCACATCAGCAACATGTCTACTTCTCCGTTTCTTATCACTTGTATTTTACTTACTCTTTTCTTTCATTCTTTCTTACTCTTTTTTTCTTTCTTTCTTTCTCTTATATGCTCTTTAAATTATTTATATTTTCTGTTACTTTCTGAGTCTGGTTATTTTGCTTAGCATATGGTCCTGAGGTGCATTGTTTTTCATACAATTTTTTTTCTTGGTATTTTAGGGAAGGGTCTACAGGGTGTTCAGGGTCTCACTACTGGATCGGACTGGTAGTGATCTGCTTATTTACAGTCTTCCAAGAGCTGAGATTACAGGCTTGCGCCACCACACCCAGTCTCAATTGCTCTCTCAGCATGTCCCGGGGGTGGGGTTGGCCTGGTAGGATTAGGGATTGAACCCCCGGCCCCTGTGCCTGCTTGCAGGTGCTTTAATCCACTGAGCTATTTGGCCAGCTGCTTTTCATACAAATGACTCCAATCTGTCGACCTTTATGGTTCAGCAGTATGCTTTTGTTGATGGACATATAGGACATTTTTGAGAGGTAGCTGTTATGAGATGCATTGCTGTAAATATGGGCATAAATATATCACCATAATATGATATGTTTTCTCTTTTGTTAAGATGCCTCCACACGGTGTGTCTGGGTAGAATGGAATGTCTGTTTGTAGCTTTTTGACAAATCTGTACTCTGATTCTATTAGTGGTTTACTTGTTTACATTCTCGTGCACAACGTAGAATGGTACCTTCTCTCCACCCCACAGCCTCATCAGCATTTGTCATTGTTTGAGTTCTTGATGACATTCAGTTTTCATGGAGCAAATGGGGTGTAAGTGTGGTTGATTTGGATTTCTCTAATGGCTAAAGATGCTGAGTATTTCTTCATATACTTGTTTGCCATTTATATTTCTGAGAAGTGTTCATTCTTTATTGGGTCTTCTACTCTGGAGGATCTAATTTTATAAGTACTTTTTACATTTTAGATATTAGTCTTCTATTCACGCAATGGCTGGAAAGAATTTCCCCATTTTGCGGGCTCTCTCTTCACTCTGTGAGTCATTTCCTTTTGCTGTGGAGAAGCATTTTATTTGTTATCCATTTGCTTCATTTTTGGTACTCTTTCTTGTGTAACTGGGATCCTATTCACAAAGTGCTTGCCTATGTGCCTATGGGTTCAATAATTTTATCTATTTTATTTTCATGTAGGTTAAGTGTTTCTTTTTTTCTTTTTTAATGTATTTGGTTGTTGCAGGGTCTCACTATGCAGCTTGGGCCCCTGGTGATCCTTGCTTTCAGCCTCTCCAGCTCTGGGATTACCTGGACTCAGGGGTGGGGTTGGCGTGGCATGCAGGATCGAACCCTGGTCCCTGAGCTTTCCAAAGCAGGCGCTTGGTCTGCTTAGTTATCTCGCCATGTTTCTGTTTTAATATCCAGGCCTTCATTCCAATTTGATTTGGTTTGGTACAGGGTTTGAGACTTAGGAGTAAATTCACTGCTATACAAGGAAATAATAAATTATTTTCCTTTAGTTGTAAGTGCTTTGGGTGCTTTTGTCAAAGATGAGATGGCCGATATTCATGAGACTATTTCTGTTCTATTCCTTTCACTTATATTTGTGCTGGTATCATGCTCTTTTAATAAATGTGGCTTTTTAATATAACCTGAGATGTCGGATTGTGATGCTTCCTGCATGGGTCTTGTTGTCCAGGGTTCTTTTACTACTTTGGATGTTTTCTGGGTCAATATAAATTTCAAGATTATTTCCTCCAGTGCTGTGGAACATGTAGCTGACGTTTTGATTAGGACTGATGTATCCTATTTATCATTTTAATAATACGACCATTTTACAATATTGGTTCTATCTGTCCAAGAATAAGTGATTCTTTTGACATTCTTCATTCACTTTTATTCAAACTATAGTTTTGGAAACTATAGTTTTCACTACAGAGCTCTTTTGACATTCTTCATTTCACTTTTATTCAAACTATAGTTTTGGAAACTATAGTTTTCACTACAGAGCTCTTTCACTCCTTTGGTTGGAAGGATTACTATATAATGTTTTGAAGGTCTTGTGAGTAAAATATTTTTCTCTAGAAGTTTTCTTGATGGTTTCATGGATGGTACATGGGCACAGTATTAATATTTATGTATTAGCTTGCTACTTTTACTTCATTACTTCCATCAAGATATTTATGGTGTTTTTTGTTCGCTTACTTTTTTTGTTTTATTTTTATTTTTATGTACTTTTGATTGAGTTTAGTGCTTCCTACATGCTGACATTGACTTGAAATCTTCATTCTCTCAGCTTTCCTGGAAGCCAGGACCACAAGCTTACACCTCTATGCCAGGCATTTTCCAAACTGTTTTAATTACCATAAGCCACAACTCTGTCCCATTTAAGCTATAATTTCCCCTCTCCCATCCTGTCCAACCTGAGTATCCTTTGATCCACTCCTGCCTCAGTGACATTGTCTCTTCTAGATCCTTCATTTTAGTGACCTTGTTTTTCTTTGCAGCTTCTGGTGGTTAAGGCTGTTGCTGCATGATAGATCTCTTTTCCTTCACACCAGGACTTCACTAACTCTTACTTTGTTTATTCATTCATGTGTGAAAGGACATGGGGCACCTACACCTTTGCTGATAGTGAACAACACAGCTGTGAACATGCATGGGTGTCTGTCTCTGTTCGCCTTTTCTTTTTCCTTTGGGGCTCTGTACTATGAAAGCATTACTGGGCCATGTGGATCTAAGACCTGAGGAACCATGGCAGTGTGTTCCGCTGTGGCTGCACCATTTCACATCCCCACCTCCCAAAAACATTTACTTTGAAAGTTGAAATGACATTTTTTATATATGCAAGGAAAAACACTAAATATAGAACTAATGAAAGGTGAAGGAAAACAGAAAAATATTACCTATACTTCCATTGCCTGAAAAAAACCACACTAATGTTTCATTTTTAACTTATTTTTGTCACTGTTCTACATCTTTTCTTTTGTACAGTGGATATAAAAAATTAAAGTGCCATTTTTCTGTCTGTTTGTCCATCTAATACCCTAACATCTTTATATTCCTTCACATAAACCTTCTTCATAATATTTGCAGTCCAACTTTACCTTCCCTTAATCTTAATTAAACCAGGATGTTAGTCTTTCAGGCATAATGGCAGAGTTTGCTTCCACTTATAGCATGGAGTTCTGATGGGTTCTCCCATGCTTGGTTTTCCAGTCCAGTGCCCTGAGCCCATGAGTAGATGTGTCTGGCCTCTTCCCTAACTGAATCTCCAAGAGCTTCAAGAATCAGTGTCTTGGGGTTCAAACACTGAGCACAGAGGAGCCATGTTGCTTAGGGTACCTGAAGAGGAGGATGAAAGCATCCTCTTTCATTAAAACAAAAGTCCAAACGTCAAGTACCTCAGTAGTGTCCCAGATTTTCTGATCAAGAAGGTTATGGGGCCAAAGAGGAA